GTATTTCAATGTTACAAAACAAAAATGACCATGTTCAAGTCTTAAAGTCATCCTGAGGCCTTAGTTTTGGTTTCAAATTACACAACATCATGTATGTGTTGCTTCTTTGGGGCTTGTTTTCATAGACCTGGTTGCTTATTTCTCTCAAATCTGGCAACAGAGTCGGCGCAGTGTCTAATTGTAGCAGTAAGCTAACGAGTACTGAAAGCTTTATTTTGTTTTGATCCAATGCTGCACAACTGAACTGATCCAATGCTGCTGTGAAAAAAAGAAGCTATATCCATGTTGGATAGAATATCCAATTTAAATAAAAAAATAACCTTAAGGGACAACTTGAATGCTTTTTTTCTTTTTTTTTCTCTTAATGCATTGCATAAAGATCGGATCGGGAAAAATCGGTATCGGCAAATTGTCAAATGATCGGAATCGGATCGGGAGCAAAGAAAGGTGATCGGGACATCCCTAGTTCAGAGTGTTGTCCTTACCCTCTTCTCGACAGGGACTTTGTTGTAGTAGCGGATGGAGTCTTTACCCAGGAAGTCAAACTCCACCACGAACTCCTGTCCGTCGTTCTCTGGGTAAAGTTTGATGTGCTCGACTCTCAGAGAGCAGCAGCCCACGGTGTCGGCCGTCTCTCCTTCCTCCTTCTCGTTACCCGCTCTCAGCGCCAGCTAGAGCACATCAGGACAGCCGGATTAACAAAAGACATTCCCTCCGACTGCAGGCCAGCGTTTAAGCACCTGCTAAACCCCACTCACGAGTATTTAAAAAGGAATTACAGGACAATGAACTCCCCAAAGCTACATAGAGTACAGACAATGTTAATAGTGCTCATGCCGCTCACCTTGTCGATGAAGTAGANTGTGTGTGTGTGTGTGTGTGTGTGTGTGTGTGATTAAAATAGCCCAATTGCTTTTACAATAAATAAACATTGAATGTGTTTAATTGAATAGGAAAGGGGTTTAACGTTAGTGGCAGGTTGTGTGTGAGAGAGAATAAATAAGACAGCCCAATATTTAAAAAAAAATCTATTATTTTTCGCAACTTTCCGCATATTTCGCAACTTCCCGCAATTTTCACTGCATAATATCACATAAAAACCCTGCATGTTTAATCGCATAATCAAGGATTTTTGCTCGCGTTTTTCTGGAGGGTCTAAACATCATATGTGTAATTCGTGACACAATTCAAACGGTATCGAAAGATAATCTTTCTCTCTCCATTGACTTCAATACATACTTTTTGCGAAATAAGGTCCCATGGAGGTCCACCGGAAGGGGAGGGACTTTGCCTCTCTATTGTCAAATCTGCAGAGGAACAACAGTTTGTGGTAAAAAAAAAAAAGTGATAGGACCCTTTAAGGAACGTAAGATTAGTGTACTATGTATGCAAGGTCGGGACGCGGAAGAGTTAAGTGTTCGAAATTATGTTTTATTTGAAGGCTGTGTTTTTGGAAATATATGTTTTTGTAATAAGCTTAAAGCTTGTTTTTTATTGGAGAAAGAAAGCTTTGGTACCATAACAGCAAAGATACTGTAATTTTTAGTCTGTGGTACAATCAAAGTCTTTTTTAATCAACTGAAACATTAGGGGAAAAGAAATGTGAGCATGTTGGCATCCATTCTAGCAATCCTGATCCATCTGTCCTCTCTGTCTCTCTCAGGTGAATATGCTCATTGGAATCGTGGTTTTTAACAAGCTCATGTCTCGAGACGGCATCTCAGACAAGTCTAAAAAGCAGCGAGCGGGGTAAGTTAACATCCTAAACTCTCTGTCTGCACCTCACACACACACACACACACACACAGACGACGACACACACACACACACACACACACACACACACACACACACACACACACACACACACACACACACACACACACACACACACACACACACACACACACACACACACACACACACACACACACACACACACACACACACACACACACACACACACACACACACACAGCTTACTCATTCAACGACTGTTCTTGGTGGGGAATGACTACAAATGTAATCTATTAAATACATGTCACCTTCTGTCAGAAACAAACTCAGGGAGGCAATATTTGTAATGCAACAATCTGCGTTCAAAGGACTCTGAACACACACACTTGTGACTCCCAAGAAAAATTATTATAAAATACAGTCAAATTTGGCAAAAAGTAATCTGTTGTGTTCTGTTGCTCTGTGAAATCTAGCATTCACAATCACTTCCAAGTCTGCTTTTCTCAGTTGTATGTGACATAGATGAATAGGTGGCCATGTGGATCAATGATAGATGGAATTCTAATTATATTTCGTGAACACACAGGATTATGTTGGTTGAATCGAAATCAGACAAAATGCAGACACACACTATATGGATACATACTACAGTATTGAAGACATGTTTATGCATCCACCCACATCTTTACTAATCCTTTGAGTTGGGATTTCCGCAGCTCTCACAGCCAAATCCATGTTTTCATTTCCATACGTATGGATTCCATGTATTCTTTTCTCTATCTTTTTCATTACAATTCCTCCAATGTCTGTCTCTTGCACACATTGAAATTGATAATGTGTGTATAGCTGAAAGGGTTAATAAAACCGATGGTCTCTCCAGGGGGTTGATTAGCTTTTGTTTCCATTTGAATCAATGGAGATTAAACCGGTTGTTGTTTACAAACATACACACATAAACAGATGCACTCTTCTTTGTTACAGGCAGAGTCCTTGGTGTATTCTGTTTATGATCAAAAATATAGTTTTGTTGATTTGAAGTGAGGTGGTATGAGGTTTTATCTTAAGTTAGTGTGTAACCTTCAGTACATGAAGGTAGGCTGAACCCTAGTTTTGGAAGCAGGCAGGAGTTAACGCACAGGAGTAGAGCAGTATTTTAGCCAACTGAAGAAATGGCAAAATAAATAAAAAAGGTTTCCTTATTTTATATATATATTTAGAATATTTTCATCACTCAACCTTGCCGTGAGACCAATCTGTTTTCAAAGGGGAACCGTAGCCATTACCAATTATCTCGCCAAAGCCACTAAACTTACTTGAAATAAAATGCTAGTTTTACCATCTCAACACTGGAGTTTCTGGGTCTCACGCTGCCTGATTGTCTGTGTTATTGTGTGATTTTATTATAAAATACAGTGAAATTTGGCAAAAAGACATCTGTTGTGTTCTGTTGCTCTGTGACAGAACACAACAGATGTATACACATAGTGTGTGTCTGCATTTTGGTCAGATTTTGTCTGATTTCGGTCTAACCAAAGTGCTTGTAGCAATAATAGTTAGCGTTGGACCAGCAACCCCTGTGTTTTTTTTCAAAGGATTTTGGTAGTTTTGACAGTAGCATGGATAGCAGCTTCAGTTTCTTGTTAAAATTGACTGTCTCCAGGCAGGTTAAAGGGGTTCAAATACTCTCAATATAGCGTGCACTCAAACATATATATTATTCTTGAGGGGTTGGGAGCCTTTCTTTTATGTGGCTAAAATCTCCTATGCTGCAGCGCTCCTTCAAAGCAGAATATTGCTTTTCCTTATACTGTCTGCTTCTTCAAACTGGGACCATACAGACCTCCATATACATTAGGCACTAGACTGACTATGGATACTAATGACTTAATGCGACCCCACTTCAAAACATACCAACTATAAGCCCACTCTCTCTCAGATTCTCAGACGCCCATGTTTAGGAGCGCATACATATCCCAGTGCTACTTCACACAGTGGTTGCTCGTGTTGCTAACAGGACAGGCTGTCATTAGCGTAATGTTTTTTTCTTATGAAGCCGTGGGGATGTGGCTGGCGCTAAAGCAATGAGCTGTGATGGGACGTTAATGTAGCATAGCCCGAGCATGGCCCCATCATTCTCCAGTCGCGCTATATATACACACACACGTAGCACGAACACATACACAGTTTCTCTCCACCTGACTAGTCAACTGTAAGTAAACAGCCAAAGTCTTTCTCTTCCTCTGCACCCTGGTAAAGCTCCTTTGTGCACAGCCCTGCTTACACAAGCAGTGGAATAACATAGTTGGTGTGTTTCCTGTGTGTGTCACTGTAATCTGTTATTCCACACTATTCTGCTGTAACATTGCAATGTGCGTCTCTCACTTTCTCTGAGTCAATCTTTGTATTCTGACTGTTATTCATTGCTGCTACTTTTTAAAGATCTGGTTTTAATTTGCCTTTCTTTCTTTTTCTCCCTACCCTTCCCCCTTTTTTCTTTTCTCCTCCCTCCCTTTGTTGTGTCCACTTTTACTTATTTTCTTTTGGTTCTTTTTTGCAACCTACACATTCACCTGTTGCCATTACCGACACTTGTGTTTCCACACATTCCCCCCAACCCCACTCCCATGTCTCCCACCCACATGGTTGTGTGTGTTTGTGTGTGTCTTTGTGCACATGTCCTAAAGTGTCCCAGCTGAGGCGCGTAGCCGACTGCTCCTGAAATGCTCCAAGTGTGGCGTGATCTCGAGCACCGCTATGTCCAGCCAGACTGCCAGCAGTGCCATGTTAGTCCATCTTCATCTTTCTACTTTTTCTCTCTCCCCATTCCTCTCTCTGTCTCTTACTCTGCACCATCTTCTCTGCCTTCTTTATCCTAATCTCTGGCTGTTGATAATGATGCAGGATGACATTCAGGAAAAACAAACACATTTAAAAGGGAAAAAACGTCTCCAATAAGCCGCCGATATTTAATGAGTGCATGTCTTGATCCAAAGTGGATTTTCCTGAGGTCATGCAACCCGACCTGTGTCATGCAGTGTTTGTAAATCAGATTGTTTGAACTTGTTTGTAGTGCTGGATTGTAGAGGCTTGACTTGTTACGGTTACGGTGTGGCATTTTAAGATGTGTTGTTGTACCTTTGTGTGCTATACAAATAACTGGCAAGGCATTTGAAAATATCAAATGTGCTAACAATCTTTACATACTGTGCAAACTAGAGAGTGCTACACGGCTGGAGGAATGAGTTCCTAAGTATGTTGTGGCTCTGCAGGATGCTTTGTCGAATCAGTATTACATATTAGGTTTAGCAGTTTAAAAGGCCGGAGAAAACATGCTATAATCCAGTGCTTTTTGAATTTTAAATTCCATATCAAGGACTAAAGGTCCAAATATCTCAGCCTACATTTTCAATGAATCTGTTTGAATACAACATTTCTCAAACAATGTTTATTACTATTATATTTAATATATGCAAATCAATATTGTGCAACTTTCTAAATGTAATAATAAATGGAGGCTAGTGTTGTATGCATTTCTCTGTATGCATCTCCTATAGGTTGTTAACGTGCTTCCACATAGTCTTTTAAAAAAAATAGGCCTTATTTATATGTATTTTCTTTCCTTGAGAACAGTTTTGTTTTGTATTCATGGTCTAATGTTCAGAGCAGCCAGTCTGTTAATGAAAGACCCTCCTCCCGTCTTTCGCTTGCAAACCATCCTTTGCATATTTAACTACGTCCTTGTGCAAATCTTTCATTACGGCGTTGTGTTTGTTTTAGAGGAGCACTCTGTTTAAAGCAGGAGCACTGATCTTAGTTGTGTTGTTGCATGATTGGACACTAATGGAATGAGATTGCCTATTTGCAGTAACAACTTTGTATCAGTCTCTTGTTGTCACTAGGGAAACATGGGGCCATTATCGACTTTCTTTTACCCATCTTTGTCAATCTCAGATCCACCTACATCTTTGCTGAATGCATAATAGTATATTATTAGAATTCATTTATACCACACATTACTGCATTCATTCTAGCTGCTTGTGAAATTCTACTTTGGCAGGAGGGTTCTTCAGAATAATGAGTTCATAGAAATCCTAGCCATAATCAAACAGTCTGTGCAGTATAATTTGTAATTTACTGAAAAAGCATTCAAACACAATAATTCACCTTCAATGTTTCTCACATTACACACGCCTTCACTCTCTATAGTATTATTATATAGTAAGCCGGGTCTATTTATACCTAAGTGATAAAGCTTTAAAGAGTAGTACTTGGGAATTTATTTCTAGATGGAGACAATTAGAATTTTGTGATAAAAGCGTCCCCCATATTTCTCTCTCCCAAATGATATTGTAGCACTTAAAAATAATAGCTCATTAAAGACACTTATTATTTACAACGAGGTACACTGGAAGTATTAGTGTTTCTTTTCTCTTAGAATGTGTCGTGGAATTGAACCATATACTATGGTTTAAAAAAAAAGACTTGGAAACGTTAACAAGAGGACATGTTTTAGTTAGATTTTCTATTTTAATCATAGCTTTGGAAAGGCCCCTGTATAATGACCTGCTTAACTCTCAGCGCAGCTAAACAGAGCTGTCTGTCAGTCAGACTGACATTTGTAAAACTAGGAATATGTGCTCGAAAGGCATGAACATTTTAAATTGGTGTCTGACTCTGTAGAGTTACACATGCACACACACACACACTCCTACACACACACGTACTGCTCAGAAGGGCCCTGTGTCAGTACTTGTCAATGGCCTGTCTTCTTCCTCCCTTTTGGCCCTCTGCCTTTTGCCTCTCACTCCACCAACATGACACTTGCTGCACACCAACCCTGTAATTGTGAGCAATTGTCAGTGTCATAACTATCCACATGATTACACATCATCTAGCGCATCTCAGTTAGAATATTAAGCAAACCTCGGTGTGCCAATCAGCTACAAACTGCCCACCACTGAACCTCTGACTGATCTGTGTGTGTGAGAAGTGGAATTGTATGACTTACCAAAGATGGCTGGTCTGGTTTGAGACTGAACCCCTTGTACCTTCTCATTGTTTCCTCTCCCTACCCCCCACCCTCTCTGTGTCTGCCTTTCTTTCTCTTTCTCTGACAGGGCGTCTCTGTGGAGCTCCTGCGTAGTTCTCCCCCTGTTAGCATTAACCTGGATGTCAGCAGTGCTGGCCATAACTGACCGGCGCTCCACACTTTTCCAGGTGATGTTTCTCAGCAATACCCTTACACACTGTGTCTCTAAAACAAGTGGTGCACTATAGAAAAGGTGGCTTTACATTGGTGAATGGCATCAAATAGGGGGGGGAGGCATGCTTTTTGAACTTTATCACATTAAAGGGGCCCTGTTATGCAAATGTCCAGGTTTCATAATGGTGTGTTGTGCTTCTACTGTACTATGACATGTTTCCATGCTTTAATGTTTGAAAAGCTCTTTATTAGTCTCATACTGCCTGTGTTGCAGCACCTCTTTTCTCCCACTGTCTGAAACCAGAGCTCTGATTGGTTATCTGGTTAGTGATTGGCCACTTATTGGAATCTCGCTTTGGATAAAAGCATTAGCTAAATGATATGTAATAATGGTCAACCGCTTACAGGTGTTATGTCCATTAGCCTGGGGAATTAGGCATTGCATCCTTTGCAGACCATTACATGCACACAACACTAAACACACTAGGAAAGGAACACACAGTAAAGCATAATGGGGCCCCTTTAATCCTGAATGATTATGTGTAAATAAACCAAAAAATAGGATCAACTTTGGAAAAAATATAAAACAATGAACAAACGATCCCACTATGTCAAGACCATGATCAGAGACACAGCCTATGAATGAAAATATGAATGGCTACACTGATTTATTATGAATAAACATGGCTTGGTTGACTTTTTTAATTCCTGTGTTTCTCTAATGATCCCTGAGTCCTTTCACTACAGCATCACAGGATTGGATAGTATATGGTGGGTTTGAAAAAAGGGTGCTTCAACATCCTGGGGTGCCTTAAAGACAGTTCAAGAGTGACACAAGAGTCTCTTTTTTTTCGGAGCATTTCTCATCTTTCAACTTGTCAGAAAACCGTAAAACAAGGCATTTACTTAAACGGCATTTTTATATTCCGTTCGCAAATGTATGAAAACAGGGAGAAAAAAGGCATAAATGAATAAAATCACCATATCAAGATCCTAAGTTAACTTTGCAATAATACCACAGATAAAAAACGGTAATGGCAGCTCAGGTCTCTTGTTGCCATGGTAACACAACACACTTTCTGGCTCTTGGGTTTTACCAGGTGAAAAGAAGTCGGAAATAGCAACTGTCAGAGCGGTGATGGAAAGATTAGCACTGTAAACTGCTCAAAGAAAAGTGATGAAACAATGATTTGTAATGCATTGAAACTCTAATGAATGATACCAAATATTGATATGAGATCATATATATATCCTGTGTCACACTCTGTATAGTATGTGTTGTGGGAGGAATCCATGGAAAACAAAAAAAAACACTTTACACAGGTGCAATTGTTTTTACATTTGTTGGGACCACTATGAAAATATAATGTGTCATAATTAACAAGGAAACATTTTGTTGTCTCCTCCAGGTCCTTTTTGCTGTCTTTGACTCCGTCCAAGGCTTCGTCATCATCACCGTCCACTGTGCAATGCGTCGAGAGGTAAATCGGTTTTTCCATTTTTCCTTCTTCCATCCTAGACATTTCGAGTTCATCCATTTTTAATTCAGCACCACACAGTGACCTCAGCGACATTCACTTCCTCTGACAGGTGCGATTCATGTTCGTAAATGTCACGTTAGTTTCCAGGTCAGTTTGAAGTCTCTGCAGAACACAGGCGGACCAGACATAAGAGGGATTAGCCCAGTATTTATGTCCTGTGTTGTGGCGCTTCCTCTACATAATGCAGTATGATAGTGCAGTATTGTCCATCTGATCCAAGGCTGCTTTAAGGAGCTTAGTAATATGGTGTGGGAAATAAGACGATAAGTCCCAGACTAATACCCTCTAGTTCCTTTTTGCCACATGCTTGTGTGTGTGTCCCGGAATGCTGGGTTTTAAACCCATTGTCAACATACATGAAGTCGTGCCCTTGAGATAGACATTTACACACACTCATTTTCCATCTGGCTAAATCAAAATTGGACTCAATGAATGGATTTACAATGTCATCGTTTTTCCATAACTGTAAATGTGTCGCTGATGCATGTACACCACACAGAGCCTTGTCTTTATCCAAGAGATCATTATGATATTGAATGCACTTCATGGTGTAAGTGAATTCCTAAATGCTCGATGTGCTTAGCTGCATTAAATCAATATCACAAAAGCGGCAGGGATCAGGGTACAGTAAATCCAGGAATTATTTATTGTAAGTGTATGAAAATCCCCTGCGTAAATCCTTCGTAGCTGCTGAACAACAGGCAGAGGGGAGTGCTGTGCCGGAGGGAAGGGAGGGGGAGGAACACGGGGGGGAAACAAGGAAGCATTACGCTGCAAAACAAGAGGGAAGGCAGTTGAGAGTGTGATGTTACTTGAAGTTAAGCACAGACTGAAAACACGCCCTCTGATAGGGCCTGTTGCATGTAGGGGTACAACGGAGGATAAAAGGAAGGAGGTGGCAGGGTAAGCCTGCTGAGATCAGTCAGGAGCCAGCAGGAGAGGAGACATGTGAAGGTATTCTGTGAGGGAAGGACTTAGTTAAGTGAGTAGAGAGGAAGGGGAGGAAGGAGAGTGGATGACAAATTGCATGCAGAGATGGCGAAGGGGACGTGATTCAAAAGCGAAGCAGGGGATGATGGTAAGGGAGGAGGAAATGGAGAGCAAGGTGGAGAGAGGTGTGGACACATAGAGGAGCTCTTCACTTTGATGTCAGGATGAGCTGCTTTTCACACACACACACACACACACACACACACACACACACACACACACACACACACACACACACACACACACACACAGATGAGACCACCCAGCTAGATTGAAGATGCTCTCGTTCGCTCTTGCGCAGCCTCTTGCTCGAGCACTCTTGTATTTCCACCCATGAGATTCTTATGGGCTTTGACAGCGGCAACATTGAGAAATGATGTTGCTCCTCAGCAAGTAACCAGGGTATCTATAATACAGAGCCCGATGGGGGGAAAGAACCTCAGAGTCGGTTGTGAAACACGATGCGCAGGGATCCATTTGATTTGAGCTGTGTTACAAGAACCTGACCTTTGACGGCCGGCTAGTGTGTGTTTGCTTAGAATGGCATACTTTGGAGGATAGAGAAAAAACAACAACATGGCAATCAAAAAGCCCATTGGTTGGAACATCCTATAAGCCACGCTGGTGATTTTAATTTGGGCAGAGCGGCGCTGATCTCACAAGGCACAAATACGCCACTTTAAAGAACTGCTTTGTGCTTTCTATACCAACCCACTGAAAGTTACATAAGCTACAAGGCTGAGCTATTTGCATAGAATATAGCTTTTTTTTTTGTGCCTTTTTCACATAATTTGGTATTCACTGAACATCTGTCATTGCAGTGATACAGACTGGGAATATATCATGTCTGAGGGAGTGAGTTCCCCATGTTCCAGCGTTTGAAAAACCTTTAAGTAAAAAAAGTAAAATGTCTGCAAACTTATTTTCTCCCTTATTCTGTTCCCCTCCCACTCTGTATTTATCCTCTTCTCTTTTCCACGCCTTTAGGTGCAGGATGCGGTGCGCTGTAGGATGGGGGGATGTAAAGATGACAGCGAAAACTCCCCAGACTCCTGCAAGAATGGACAGGTGCAGATCATGGTGAATAGCATTTCATTTCATCCCGCATTGCAATCCATTAGCTTCATACTAATGCTGGAGCTTTGTAGCTTCAGCTCCAATAACAGGAAGCATGATTGTTGTGCTCAAACTCATACCTGGCTCTCACTTTTTCCCTTAAGGAAGTCATTATTGTTTATGCATTATGCATCTACCATTTGTATTTTTTCCCAAAAATGTAATTTACCTTCGAAAATGCAATTTCCCTCCCAGCCTAAAAAATCCTGTGGTGTCATAACTGGACATGAAATGTTGTCAAAAGAATCCACTTCTGTAAAAGTAGCCTGCATGGATTCATTTAATTGCATTTTGATATTCTTGTTGCTCGCATTTTCTTCATGATGAAAATGTGTGTATTGCTCATGGCATTTCGTGTATTACCAAAACATTCATTTCAGCACTTTTATTTACTTTGAACCTAAACTTCCTGCTCTGTATTTGAAGAGCACGGAGCTCCCGTAAGGTTATTGTACGTGTTCCAAATCTGGCTAATAGTGTGATAAATCATATAGACTTGAAATGCCTCGCCAATGTCAGCACGGTCACACTGCGACTATGAGAGCACGAGCGACTCTCACAACGCTATTCCCTTTATTCCTCCCTCAGACCTGTTTGCGGTAACGATTATGGCTTTCTGAACGCCCCTCTGAGGTTATCAAGATTAAACTTTGGAGCCATCATTCTGCTCGGAGAACCCATTATGACACATTTTCTTTCTCTGTTTTCATAACCGAGAGGAACATCTACAGTCTAACTGAGCTTATTTGATTTTGGGTTAAATGTATTGTTATCATACACACAGCTCGTTGCTGTGCCAACTACTTCTCGGCTGGTAAAGTTTCATCTAAAAGTGACGGCACATATGCATGGACGGTTTAATGAACACAATACCCTTGAGAATATTAATTATGATGGATAATTTGGAGCCACCAGTAATGCAATGTCCCCATCATAACTACTCTCAGGTCGTTGCTATATTGTCAGTATTTAAATGTTAAACCGCCGACATTTAGAGACGTAGAAGTGCAGCTACACCTTCTTCTTAAGCAGTATAAAAGCTTTTTTCAGTTCAAGTGTTTAATTAGTTAATCTCCGTTTTATTTTTGTATTCATTAATTCCTTTTACACCATCAGAATTGCTCTAATGTGAACTTCAGTGGGCAGCAGTATGGCTCTCTGCGTATCGGCACCCCCCCGTGTCTGTCCAGTTGCCACCAGCAGTTGCCACCTGCGGGCCACCAGGCCTGCCAACAAACCTGTTACCACAGTCTGCCCCGCAGCAACAACCAGGGCCTCGAGCACAGCCATGCACACCAGCATAGCCCCATCCTGAACAACACCCACAACCACAACCACGCTCATAACCATAACCACGTCGCCCACAACCACATCGGAAGCTTTCCAGTATGTCACTCGTAGAAAAGTCATTGTCATTATGAATAGTGAAGCCCCTAGAATGGATTAAAGGTGGAATCTGTAGAATAATATTTTTGCAATGACTAGGAACAGATATGAGAGGAATGGTTAGACATTTAGAAAAATACCCCTTTCTAGGAGGTACATGAGAAGATGGAAGCCTTTTATATGTTTTCTAAATATAAAACCTATTGCCAATAACTGGCTTAGCGTATTTTAGCTTAGCTTAGTGCAAGGACTACAAATGGCTCAACTCACTCATGGACTTTCTATATGTTGTTTAATCTGTAAACAATCGGAATTTGGAATTGTTACTTTATGGTTTTAAAGGGGGTACTGTGGATGTAGGGTCACTTCGCCCAGACAGAAAATAGTCCCACACAAACCCTGGTAAAAACACAAGGTAGCAATTCTACATGTTTCATTTATCTTAAATAGACACAGAAGACATTACATGCTTATAAGTGATGCTAGAAAGCTGGTAGGCATCTTATTTTCCTGTTGGAAAGTGCCAGGCTAGCCTTTTCCCATATTTCCTGTATTTATGCTTTGTTTTAATTAAATATTCCACCTTTAAATCTACGTAGGAATATCTGTGGTGTATGATATAGACTCCCTCTTTTACTTTAGCATGGTATGCAGAAAATAATGTGTTTTTAATTGATTAAGAACATATTGGTTTCTTTTGCAATTATTTCAGTAGGAACCTCCCCAGAAGGCTGTGTTTTATTGGATGGACTGAGCAAAATAAACGTTGTTCCCTTATAGTGTTTGTTGACTTTGATGACTTACTGTACTTAACCTGAGGGTTTCATAAAGAGAGTGTATTATAGTTAAAATAAAGATGATTTGTTTTTCTCCATTTGAATGGTAGAGAGTGTCTGAGAGAAAGAGAGAGCGGTTTATTTCATATCCTCATTCGTCCATTTAGTAGAGACCCATTTACGGTGCTGCGGGTGATTTGCGTACTAAGAGCTTTGCTGCTCCTCTGAGACCTTCACATAGTCTCTCCTTCTCTCTTTCAGTTTTTCATTCTCCCCTTCCTCTTCTCTTTGCCTGTGTGGCGTGCCCAAAATGTCTAAAATCTCTAGTGTATCATCCAAACAAAAGCTTTTGTAAATGAATCCCACCGAGGACAGGAGGAGGCTCTTTGGTGAGAGAAGGGAGGACCACAACTGCATGGCAATGAGCTTCACTTTCACTGAAAAACTTGAGTGATAGCCATTCTAGAAACAATACTTTTTAATTCAACCCACCGCCCTCAGTCTTTGGTAGTTTCACTTTACCCAGAGGAGAAGTGCCACCCTGCTCTCCTCAAGTGAGAACAAACCAAATAAACATACATTTTGAACCTTATCTACATAAAAAGTGAATCGGAGTGCAGGTTAAACTCAGTGTTGTATGGGATGTTTGTGTTATGGTCCCTGCTGTGAATGAATTGTAAAGGTACAAAATATGTTTTTCCAGTCTAACAAATGCACGGCTGGAAGACGGGAAAGTTGTGCTTCAACTGGCCCAGCAGATAATAGTTTAGCTGCAGAGTAAATTACTCTCCCTGTTGGCATTTAGACAATAGCGAGGTGACTGTTGAGTCGTATAGTAGCATTACATAGCTGGAAAAGCAGAAACTGGGTTCTGCTCGTCTTGTTTCAAAACTGTATTTGGATCTGCTGCTGTGCACTGATACACATTAGGAGCACAGTAGCAGTGTTTGCATAATTCTCTGCTCTTTTTTTTTTTTTTAAAGACCTTGAAAAAATTCACTTTGAACAGATGAAAACTGAACATGTATGACTTAAGGCACCGTCTCATTCACAGGGGGCTAAACTAATTTACTTGGTTGTAAAGTGTCACCATAGCAACAGATCCTTTCGTTTTTTTAAACTGTCAGATTAAAACATCATTAGATACAGCATAACCATTTGAAATCCAATCACTCACCTGGCTGTTGTCTCTATTAATACGTTGAATGTAATGACACTCATTGTATTTCCTCTCTCTTCCCACCCTTCCTCCCTCTTAGACGGACTTTGAGAAGGATGTGGACTTGGCATGTCAAACAGGTAAGCTCTCCCTTCCACATGATTTACTTTTCCATTTCTCCCTTTGTCTCCTCTTTTGTCCAACACAGGATTAGCATTGCAGAGAGGCAATGGAGAGCTGCAACGTAGCTTGCTGCTTTGCATGTTGATAGACTGACAGGAGATGATGTGCTGCTGCAGTACATGTCCACACAGCTGCACACCAATTATTATTCCTTATCAATCACACTGATTCTGCCCAATGTGTGTTCAGTGAGCATATGTTTGAATGAGACTGTGTTTAATTGTGCATGATAATAACACTCCTCAGTGTGTAAAGACCTGTTTCACTCGCTGCTGGTCTTGTGTTTGGATATGTTACAAATGTACCCCGATGTTTTGTGTTTGTGAAATATTAACACAGTCACTTTCCCCCTCCATCCTTGCAGAGAGAGGACACCCATGTAAGTTGTGCACACGATTGACCTTATTAACACTGCCTGGTTTGTCCCTCAACCTAAATAATTCCTATAGACGAATCTCAATTGTACGGGGATGTAGAAAATCCAACATTACTGCAGTGGTACCTCTCTTGTAAACAGACTTTTTGATAAAGAATTCTAAGTTTTAACAAATGGCTATTTGTTTTTGCTTTGCTTTGCTGTTATCAGCTGCAACGACACGGAAGATAAAAACCACAAGCACATCTGCTCAATGAAATCAATTTCACTTAGATCTTTTAAGTCAGTAACCGAGAACCAATCAGCTGCCAAGAAAAAAAGAGCCCCCACAAACATTATTTGCTACTTTCTGGCCAAAATACCAATATGGCAATTCCCCCCCCCCCATTTTTATCAAATGCTAATTTGTACCTCATTAATCAACATGAATACCATGCCACTGCAGTAATGGTGTAAAACTACCGCCAAATTCGTCTATAGTCCATTCTGTTGGTCTCCGCTGTTGGATGCAGATGTGAAGGGATCAGATTTTGCAAAACCTTGTCAAGTCCTTTCATATAACGTTGCACCAACAGGACGGTAAAACACAGAAAATGTGATGTTTTGTACTCAGCCAGTGTCCTTGCTGTTATATTCAGACTCAGCAGGATCCCGCTTCAATTTTTGATGAAACGTGGTGCTTTTGAACATTTTGTCACATCAATGCTGGTTACACAAAAATGGTCTGTGCTAGATGCTTTGGTTAAGAATTGGATTTTGGGGCCACAAAAGTACATTTCCTTTCCTCTGATGCTGACAGAATGAGCATGATATCTGGCATGAACTTGAAAACGCTTTGAGTTGTGTTTGATTGTGATGATAGATTGATGTCAGATGTGATTAAGCATCGTCTCTGATCAGCATGTCATAGTTAATTTTGGAGTAGCTATTCTAGAAATATATAGTATTGTTTGTAGTTTCCTTTCCTCAACAACTTGCATGAAAGCTAACCCAAATCCACTATAAATAGTTTTTATTTACAGTTTTATGAAATGAAAAAAGGCCCTGGGCTAATACAGGAATACACGTTAATGCACATGCATTAAAGAACATAGGTATACAGACTCACACACACAGGGCATACTAAACTGTGAAGCAAGATAGCAGGGATAGAGGATTTGGCTCCATTTCCTTGGATGCACATTTTGCACTTTCTCCAAGCTAATAAAAATCTTGGCACACCGACAAAACTTTAGTTGGAGCAACACTTTAAGGTCACAGTTTTAGAGACACAACTCATCTTAGTAACTTCGAACCGCATAAGACCAAAAACTGAAGTGACATTCTCTTGGATATGCAATATATCTCACAGTCACATCAAAGATTCAAACAAACGTCACTATCGAAACCCTAATGTATGTTTCTGTTTCGCCTATCTGTCGCCTGTTTAACATTTATCAACTTATTTCCATTACATTACCTTCCTCTTTATACTTCTCAATGTTCTGCTTCCTCAACATTTGCCTCTTCCTTAACCTCACTTTATTTTAACTCTTCACTTCTTCTTTTCTTGCTTTTACCAACTCCCCTTTCCGCGACTCTATGTATTACCATGGCTTCCCTTGTCTCCTCGCACCTTAGTCATATTCAAGGAGGTCAACACGTGTAACCCGGCCACCATCACTGGCACCCTTTCCCGCATCTCCCTGGATGATGACGAGGATCCAAAGCTAGCAGCCCATCAGGAAGGGGTCAACTTCAGCTCCCTCCCCGGGAACATCCCCCCTCCCAACCTGATCGTACAGGTACAAGATTAAAGTTTACATTGACTGACCTATTGCTTGATCTTTTTCTAGTCCCAAAACTACATTTAAAAATAATGGAAAATGTAATCTAGCAACAAGAAATGATCATAGTTGATGATGAATGAAAATAACATTATTAGAAATACTAAAACGTTTTTTGTTCCACAAGGTTCCAACCCTGAGCGGCCTGAATGAGCTGAGTGAGACGCCCCTAAAGAAGGACGTGAACCTCGATCAGCAGAGACAGCATGGGCAGCAACGTAGCGGCGCTCCAATCTACCTGTGCACCGAGAGTGGCCTAGGGTGGGCTCGACCGCCCCCCTCCTCCAACACCTCCCAGGACGGAAGTGCCTGTAGTGGAGGCAGTGGATGTGGGAGCGGAGTAAATGGAGGAAGTGGGGAGGGAGATTACATGGTCTTACCTCGTAGGACGGTTAGTCTCAAACCTCCAGCTCCCTGCTCTCAAGGAGGAGGCCTGGGTCTGGGGGGCGAGGACAAGCCCCTCAACATCGCAGTGGAGGATCCTCCCTTCCCCCCGCCTCCCTCACCCCTGACCCTCCACCCAGCTGAGAGTGAGGCGTACCCGGCGGATTTTGTGCCGTCAAGCGTAGGTGACATGAACATCGCCATGAACCTCAACCGCTCCTATGGGACGATCAAAACCATGCCCCACGGGCACGCCCACATGATGGCTCCGGCTGGTCTTGTACACTCCCACGGAGGACACATGCACTCCCATGGGCATTCGCTCCAGCTGAAGCAGGGCCAGAGGCCGTCGGTCAGACAAATTCTGACAGGGGGATCCACAGTGGAGAGAACCAGGACCCTGCCACGCAACTTGGGCAGCACCAATGCCAACAGCAGCCACTCAGCGGGATCCTTGGAGGTGGGTGAGAGGTTGAGGGGTGAGGGAAGGAGAGGTTCCAAGTGTTGGTGCAGCTATGTTCACCTTTCACTTGAGCACACAGTTGATGTTTACGGTTATGGATGCAGTGGTGGGGGTGTGGCTATGTATGTGAAGTTGTGGTGGTAGAATGACAAAGGGGAGGAACGTTCTCTGTAGTACTCCTTAGTTGGACCTGTAATCCTGTAAATGCAAGGATTGAAAACACTTTTTGAAACATTTTAACAGTAAAATCCAAATAAAACCATTTGCATCAAATTCAAAGTCACTTAGTTAAAGAAAGATTTTAGTGCTATGACGTTTGCTTTTTTCAGCTGAGTAGTATTCATTGCTGCCGACTGAGGCAATCAGCGTTGAAATGAGTTATTCTCTCAATGGAAGACAGCTTTGTCTTAGCGTACTGTGTGTGTGTGTGTGTGTGTGTGTGTGTGTGTGTGTGTGTTTCCAGGGACTTCTGTTTTAGTGGTGTCACATTTTAAAATAGGCACTGCTCTGAAAAGGGTTTTAAACTTTACAACAAAGTATTAAATGACTATTAAGATTAATTTATAGTAATTAAATAATATGAGTGTTATTCATTAATACGGCAACAAACAATAATTTGTTATTATTGATTTTTCTGCTTATTATTTAGATGAATAGTTTGGTCTATAAAATGTTTAAAAATTATTTTTAAAATCTATAAATCAATAGGAGTTTCTCATAATTAATGACTATAAATGTCTTGCTTTGTCAGTTAAAATCTGAAAATAAACACTTGTTTATGATTTAAATCAGGGAAGTATATATATGACATTTTTGTTGCTATATTTTCAAAAGATTACCAAAACAATAAAGAGTGTCTACCTATGGATTCCGACTACTCATTGCTGATATGTAGTGGCAGTTTGAGCCAGGATCATGGGATATTAATTGTTTGTTATTTTATTCAAACAATGTGTGTTCCAAAAAAAGATCAGAGTCAGATGCATTGCAAGTCATGGCAGCTATCGTTCATACAGACGGAATGCAACTTTACAGAACTTTAACCCTCCGTATGTGTTCAACGCCTTTTCCCTTCCTAGCGACCAGCGGTTGCGGCTAAACAACCCAAAGTGTGGGTAAGCCTCACAGATCCCACACAGTAAACTCCCGTCAGCAGAAGAGCCGGTGAGAGAGTGCTGTTGCTGAGGCTGTTTGGTCCTGAGGGACTTGGCTCAGTCCGCTCCGCTCTGCAGGGCCAGATCTCAGGCCGTTAAATCACACCACAGAAAACAACAACAACTGTGACAAGCAGAAGCATGATGAATCAATGAGAGGACTGTTTAGAGTCCCTTAAGCCGACCGGATCATTTATTCATCTGGATATAGCATGTCATTACTCTCATTTTGAGCCACCGTCTTTCCCAATGTCCAAAGATATCTTTACGTACGTTGTGTCCTGACGCAAATTACAAGTATGTGTTATTAGATTATCATCCTGTACTTTGCAGAAGGGTACTTCTATCTGTGTCTGCTAGCCCTCTGATCTTGGCTCACACTGCTTCTGTTTTGTGTACCACTTTGTGCCTCACTCCAAAAAAGTAGAAGGTCTACAAGACAAACTGCACAACATCAGCCGAGTGTAACTCTTCCTCCTCTTCCCTAGCGAAATAAAAGCGTCCCATGAATGCTGACAACCATCCACCGATATTCTTTTTGAGGCCTTCTCTGATTTTGAGAAAAAACGGGGAGCAGGAAGGCAGAAAGAGAAACATAAAGACAGAGAGGAGTGAGGAAACAGAGGCCAGCTTTGTCATTTTGACTTAACATGAAAAAAAAAGCGAGCTGAGGAGAAACCCAGAGATCATTATGTAGCCGCGTGCAGATGCATTCAATTAGTTGTGGTTGGAAAAGCCTTGGCCTGAGACCAGCACTTTCAATAAGACGGGGGGGG